CAGTCTTTGGAGGACGCGCGTCGACAAGCCTGAGATACTGCCGGTTAATGCTCACTCGGAACTCGTTACACTCTGAACAAGACGTGCGCAGCTTAAAAAGGACGTGCAAACTTCTCTGACGGAATGAGGACCTGGTAGGCGCCGTCTAGGAGGCTGCGAATCCAGGGATACAAGAAAAGACGGGGGAGGCAACCGACTTTGTAGCTACTACTCGGAACGCTGCGGCTTAGAAAAAGGCCACTACGTAGCAGGATCCAACCATTCTCACTCTTCAAACTCGGGCTATTGTGCGTATGTCGTCACTTTCAACACAAGGGGGTGCCCTTTAGCGTCAAGTTTCAAACTTCAGGGGGATCCATTGACCTTGCGGTATAGGCTCCTGAACGTTGTAACTAAGGAGTTGCGTCCGCGGCGAATGCCTTCCGCGATCCGTTCTCACAGCCGTTTCAACCGTTTTTCTTATCATACTTGCCCAAACTTATTGTTTTTTATTTCTTTATTTCATTGATTATATGTCGGCTTGTTGCCGTCGTTATGGGGGAGTAGGGGCTCGATCTGATCGTATTTGTTTCTAGTTTTTTCTTCTAGTTGTGTGTGTAGTGTGTTTCTGCCACCACACTGTTTTAACAATAAATTTTGTGTTTTGTTTGTTGTACTCTATTGTGGATTGGAGGGAGCTACTTTTTGTTCCATTGTGTGATCTTGACAATGGGTTGGGGTTGTCCGCCCAGTGGTGCTCTTTCCTGTCACCACTAAACTGGCCTCGTAGTGGACGCTTGGGGTTGAGTATTACATCAAATTGATTTCTATTTGCTGAATAGGCGGGCCTTGCCATATAGGTGTCCTTCTTAACTTGTTTGGTCGTTTCGTCATCGGCGTAAAATCATAAACAAGTCTGGGTGGGCTTATTTTTTTATTTAACATGTAAAGTCTAAACGGTGAAACAAAGGTCTCTCTTTTTCTTTGGAGTTTGAAAATGTCAAGTGATTTTTGGCTCAAATTAAAAAAATGAGATTTGAGCAGTAAATATTTTAACCCTTCGCAAAAAGTGGATCCCATTAGGCTGCAGAGGTCATTGGCCCCCGTTTTGTGCAGAATGGACACCTTTGCTCTCGTAGTGGTAAAACAAACACCTAGCTTGGAAACGAAGTGAGACAGCAGAAAGAGCTGGAACCGAGAACGGGAGTGATGGAGAAGTAGGTACGAAGTGGTGCTCGCAGAGGGAGGACCCAGTGAGGCACACATTTGGGGAGGATGAGAAAGATAAACAGGGCTGGAGGGAAAACAATAAGTGAAGTGGGATGACAGACCAATAGGAGAGTTATCGTCAGGTTGGGGAAAAGAAAAAGGGTAAAGAGGTCTGAAAAAAGTTACGAGGGGAAGGGGAGAATCAATCTTGTTGCCACATGCCCGCTGCCTGCAAACGCCCTATATGGTTGGGTGTGTGTGTGTGTGTGTGTGTGTGTGTGGTGCTGTGTGTGTGTGTGTGTGTTGTGGTGTGTGTGTGTGTGGTGTGTGGTGTGTGTGTGTGTGTGTGTATTGGATGTTCAACCTTTGACTGCACAGTGTGAGTTTGTCCATGACCGAGGCCAATCCTGATAGAGGACCCTGAGCAACTTCAGTAGTGATCACGCGCTCCTTCTTTATCAGCAGTTTATTCCTATTTTCTGACATCTCTTACTCAGTGTGCACCCTTACAATGCAAATATAGCATGAACACACACTGACTCACACGTTTTTCACTGCTGCCATGCTTGATCATTTTTTCATTACAGAAGGAGTGGGGTATAGCACGATACAATTTGGTATAAATCTTGGTTTTCTAAGGCTACATTGCTACTGACAGTGATTTTATGTTCTCTTGTATAATTGCATTTGCATTTGATATTTGGTGTATCAAAAGTAACAGAAGTAATCAGGTTACATTACTTTTATTATTTGGTAATATTAATTGTAAAGGATTACACTTTTTTATAGTAACCTTCCAAACTTGGTATATTCAGTGCTTTTTTTGGCTCTTGGCATGATTCTAAAGCTGTGTGAATATAAGTAACTCTGTCGGAATGAGTCCTGGTGGTGGTTTGAGTGCGAGCTTCGTGACCAGGGTGTGAACGTTCGTGATCAGCTGTTTTAGCGCAGTGCTGCTGTACAGACCGACGTTAACAGCAGCCCTGTCTGTGCACACGGAAACCGACTCTGTCGTCCGGTGATCTAACCGCCTTCTGGAAAAGCTTCACAAGTACGTCGGTACGCAAATGCGCTTTGTGATACAAGTGACGGTAAGCATTTCAGATTGTTGCCGCGCATGCATACCACTTATGTGCACCCCTGTATATGCTTCACCTGCGAGTGACTTCACCTTTTTTTCTCTTGCCTTCTCGGACCCACCTTTTTCTTTTCGTTTTCTTTGATTTTTATCCATGTCTGCCGCGGCATCTAATCCCTTCTCTTCGTGTGGCCGGTCTTTTTTCTTCTTCGTGTGTGATTTTGACAGATAAGAACCACACAACTGCATTAGCGGCCGCTGTCGCCCTCTGTCGGCCGTCAGCGCAACTTAAATGATGACGTTAAACACTTTTTTTTTTAAAGGGCCTGTGGTTCTACAGATGGCCAGTCCGCCCCTGGCTACAACTACAACAAGATGAACATATTTGACCGTGATTTAATTGTAATACACGTTTCAAAATGATGCCGAAGTAACAACATACTGATACCGGTTAGTAAGAACCATGAATTAATGCTTTGACAAGTCTGCAGACAGACGGCAGGCGAAAAACCTTTTAAAATGCGTGTTTTCTAAATGGAGCTTGGCTAAGCTAACGCAGTATATGCTCCGACCGTCCACTCTCACAACAACGGCCTATACAGACATAAATAAAGCAGTGACTGTATTCTCCATGACACAGACAGTCTGTGGTTTGTACTTGTTTAACTTTTGTCTAGTTTCTGAACAGATATGAGGAGCTGTGAGCGCTGAGGGCTAACAGCTAACGGCTGATGTTGGTTTTGTGGTTCTCATTGAAGATGGCGTCACGGCTCCGCCTACACTGCGTTACTATAGTTACTGCCCCAGCTACTAAACTGTAATGGAAACACAGCATAAAGTGTGCCTGGCCTACCAAGGCCTAACTATACCGTACTAAGCCGAGCGCGGCCCTGCAATGGAAATGGACCATAAGTGTTAGTGTGAGGGCCATGTTAGTGTGAGGGCCATGTTAGTGTGCGGCCCTGCAGGGGCTCAGGTGGTCCCCGCTTTTACCTTGGTCGATCTCAGTGACGCAGCATTCCTCCAGAGCTCCAGACGGGCTGTGCACCTTGGCATCGATCACACCCTTCGCCCCGTTCAGGCTGACGGCAAACGATGCCGGCTGGTTCACCTTCAGACCCGACTCCTGCTCGACAACAAACACTCACACACTCAGCGCTGGATCACCATTATCTAACACCAACCAGATCCTGCTGTACGCAATACTCAGTACGCTGTTACTGAATACTGTCTCCATGCATGATCACCACAGCATCATATTCACATAGCTCTACTACTGTTGACCTTACCTGGAGGATGCTAACAAGGCTAAAGAGGAGGGCTGTGCAGAGACGGACAGCAGGTAGGTGTGTGTGTGTGTGTGGTGTGTGTGTGTGTGTGTGTCAGAAACAGAAGAGAACTAAATAATTAGCGGCCTCTAATGGAATCATATTGTGAGACGCAATAATGCCTCTTTTAGTGTGATAACAAGCTCATACCAACTCAAATTGTATCTAATGTAAAATCATTTTAGGAAACATATTTAGAAGATTGCATTTTTGTGTCTAGAGTTCTTGTTTTACAGTTCAATGCCCTCAATAAATTGTGCATATATGGAGCTAGATATTTATTTTGTAATACCATTTCACTTGATACAATTATGTTCAAAATAGGTGGTTATATAGGCTATTTTCTTTTATTCTATTTACAAATACCTATATGGAGATATGAAATGATTTATATTTTGATAGCAGATTAAGGCCACATCACCCAGCTCTGTGGATATGTCCACGCAGGTGAAGACACTCAGTGCATATAGAGGCCCATTACCCGAAAGAAAATAATTGATAATAAATCAAATGTAAATACTCACAGTAAGTTAATATTATGAGAGATATTTAGGAGGATTTTAACTTCGTAAATTGATGGTTTACTTGGTATTTGATCATTTCTAATTTTTTGATGTTTCTTTTTTTTTTGTATACTGAATGAATTCTCTCTCTTTATTCCACAGAGTTGTATATATGAGAAAGAACAGAAAGAGAGGAAAGTAGCCCATGTGAGACCTCTTTAACCCTTTAGCTCCCTGTATTATCTTTAGAGGGGGAGGCTGTTGGCAGCCTTTAGAATGAGGCACGAGAAACACACACAGTCCTCTTGTTTCCCAGAAGCCCTCACACTGCCTCACAATGCAGCAGCAGCAGCAGCTCTACGGCACCTTGGCCTGCTAACAGTCACTACTCTGCTTAAAGCTTCACCTTAACTTCGACAGCTCATTTTAAACATTAAATTGTTCCCAACTCCACACTATTAATGTGTTTACAACTAGACTTGTTTAATCTGATACAGTGAATAGGAGAGTAAAGGCTCTGATCTGCTGCTGCTGCATTGGAGTCAGTGCACTGCGGCCTGGTGTGTGTGACCATGGATGTGTGTGTGTCTCAGAGCCTCACCTGAAGACTGGCAACAGTGAGGCGCCGGGCGTCGTCTGAGGGCGAGGCCACGGGCACGAGGAAGGGGCTGTCGGGGATGTGCTCCTCGTTGAAACGGATCGACACCTCGTAGTCTCCTGCAGGGGACCGGGTTCAAGTCAGAGAGACATTCAATATTATAAAACCAACAATGTAATAGGGCATGCGAAAATGGAAATATGAAGGTCTGCTGCTTTTCTCAGTTTTACATCAAATGTAATTGAATATGTTTTGATTTGGCATAACAAAAAATGGCATTCAAAGAAATTATCATGGACATTTTTTGCTCCATCTTGACAATGAATCACTGAGGGAAAAAGCAGCACAGAGCTCGCTTTTAACTCTGTGTGAGAAAAAAGAAAAGGACATTTTTCTCCCTCTAATGTGGTAAATAAGCTTAAGTGTTGTTGAAAATCTAAATAAAAGTGTTTATTTTATTTTTTTAAATCTCTCTCTCTCTCTCTGAGCTGCGGGCGCCTGATAAGCCAACATCCCCCACTTTCATCACCCATCGTGCAGGGCAAATGGAAAATGTAACCGGGGTGAAAAGGGTGTTATCTTTACTTAATTATGAATGTTGTTACATCAAGGCTGAAAATTCATTGTTTTTGTATTATATTTCCATTTAATCTTGTGGACGTGCAGATTCCCTGTCCTCCATCAGGGGGTGCTGCAGCACCCTCAGCACCCCTACTTCCCACGGCCCTGACTCTGTCCCGCCTGTCCTCACCCGGCTCCTGCACGATGTAGGACACTCCACTGGAGCCGTCCTTGCGGTCCTCAAAGGCAATTTCAGCCTTGCTCGGCCCCTCCACAGCGATACTGAGGCCCCCGGCACCAGCCTCCCTCGTCCAGATGCTGAACTCAGCTGCAAACAACGCAGGGGCCAAAGCAGTCAGTTACACTGTGTAAAACAACAACAACACACTAATAATCCAGCTCCACACCAACCTGGTACTCCAGCTTCTGCTCTCTCCAGCCCAGGCCCTCCAGCACGGACCTTGTGAGCCCCGCCCTCTCCCAGGGGCCCGACGGTAAACTGGAAGGGGCTCCCGGGCACGTGCACACCGTTGTATTTCACACACACGGTGTGCACACCGGTCTCGGTGGGTACGAAGCGGATGCAGTAGGTGTTGTTCTCCCCCTCCATGATGTCAGCCTTGTGCACCTGTCCAGACGGGCTGGTGACCTGCGCCGTCATGTCCGCTATGCTGATCTCTACACACACACACACACACACACACACACACACACACACACACACACACACACACACACTGATGGAGATGCAGTATGTTCTACCAGGCGCAAATTCAAAGGAGCACACATGCAGTACAGCCAACTATATGTGTGTGTGTGTGTGTGTGTGTGTGTGTGTGTGTGTGTGTGTGTGTGTGTGTGTGTGTGTGTGTGTGTGTGTGTGTGTGTGTGTGTGTGTGTGTGTGCGTGTGCGTGTGTGTGTCTGTGTGTGTAACAGAGTGTGGGTTAATACTGTGAAGCACAGAGTAATTTTCTCTCTGTCGCCAGGCGGCCTCACGCTGTGGAAGCGACAACACATTAACTGTTAAACAAGACACCTTAGACCCTGGGGTGGAGACGGAGAGTGCGGGCGGGTGAGGAAGAGAGGAGAAACAATAAAGAGACTGAGAAATAGAGAGAATTGTAAAAGGTTTAGTGGGTGGGGAAAATGAGAAAGACAATTCCCTATAGGGAGGCAAAGCGGGAAGAAAGGAGTGTTGGAGGAAAAGGTGAAAATGGACCGGGGGAAGATGAGGAGGAGGATATTGCAACTTTACATTTAGCAAGAATGTATCATATTAACGTGAATAAGAATGTGTGACCTCAGAGTCAAATACAGGCCTTTTTTTTTTTTAAAGCCCATTGAATGACTGTCACTCCAGACCTCCTCACAGTGTATCACCGTGGTGAACAGCAATGCACAGCAGAAGAGCCTACAGAGCACTTTGGATTTACTTTGGAGTATATTCTAAATGCCTGTCATTTAGAAACACAGAAATAAGACGCATAAAAGCACTTGACTTGACAGCAGATAATCTACCTTTAAAAGTGTGAGGAGCAATTTGTTTATCATGAATAGATGGTGAAGTGGATGTTGTGTGATGGTGTGTTGGGAGGAGGAAGGAGGGTGAACGATTGCACTTTTGTTTTTGATTGTACGTCTTCTTTTATGTCTTCACATAGATCTAAAAATGTTATTGAAAGCTGAATGTTGATGTTTTTCCAAGAAGGCTACATTCCAGATGTTTTCTGCATTTAAACTGGCCTCCTTTTTCTCTCTCCCTCAGGAGGTTATTTTAAAGAGAGCAGCTGACCTGGTAGAAGCCCTTTATGGTTTACCCCATAATAACCAGGTAATGAACACACACACAAACACATCCACAAAAATGCGAAAAATAGAATGAGTGTTATCTCAGTCGCTACGTTTGTGGTAATCATTCCTTTGTGCTTTTCCTCCTCCTGAAGGAGATCATCCTGAAGCGTGCGGCGGACATTGCAGAAGCTCTATACAGCGTTCCCCGAGGACACAGCCAGCTCTCCGGCTCCACACACAGCGGCATGATGGGGGTCAACTCCTTCACCGGGCAGCTGTCCGTCAACGTCGCTGAACCCTCACAGGGTAATCAGGGTGAGAACTTAACTCTTAAATGGTTTCTGTATCCTGGGGGATACATTTATTTGACAGGCTGTGTCCATGTGTAAAATTGGTCTAATTACAGTGTAATTACAGTGTAGGTTAATATTGCTGTAATATGGGTGTGATAGGGGTGGAATATTGCTTTTTACATTGGTGTTACATCGGCCTAATACAGTCTAATATTGGTGTTACATGGGTATTATATGGGTCTAATAACAGTGCGACATGGGTGAAATAATGGTGTCACATATAATAACATAATAACAGAGTAATATGGGTGTAATACGGGTGTAATAATGGTGTAAAATAGGGGTCTATTAATGTGCGATATGGGTGTGATAACACTGTACTATGGGTGTAATGTAGAAAATAGCAATCGATACATTTTCCACAATTTTAAATGCCCATTAAAGGGTTAAAAGTGTTGACAGGATCTGATAACACTTATCTATTCTGTTATAATGAAAGAGGACTAACAGAAAATGCGTTTGTATGCATGTGTTTTTATGTAGAAATGTGAAAGAAGCAAACTAAACTTCTGGTGCCAGTGCTTTCCAGATCAAGAAACAGGAACGGATGAATACCAGACCCAGGAAACCACATGAGTAATCTGTTTTTATGCCACTTTACTGTCTAATCACCACACGTTCTTCTTCCTCTCCTTAACTCTTTGTGCAGGTTTTGTGCGCAGCAGCAGTAGTGTGTCTCCTCACGGTTACGTTCCCAGCTCCACGCCTCAGCAGACCAGTTACACTTCTGTCACCAGCTCCATGAACGGCTACACCAACAACACCGGCATGACCAACCTGGGAGGATCGCCCACTTTCCTCAACGGCTCTGCAGCCAACTCGCCTTATGCTAGTAAGTTCACACGTGCATTTACACCTCTTTCGGGTACTCAAACTCTCTGTCACAAACTAAACCTGGCGAGAAACAAATGTTTTTCAAGCCATTAGCTACTTCACTGTGGTGGAACTTGATCCATACAGTGGTGAAGTTACTTAGAGTACTTTTAGCTGCCACCAAGCTTCTTCAGTTTCAGAGCTACCAGTTTAATTACAGGGGCTGAACACTGCATACATACGTGCAGATCTTACGTTGTGTACCTACACATGTCTGTGGACAGGAAGTGAAAGTCTCAGATCTGCCGAGATGAGATTTCCCCATGGGGCTTACTGTCTCTGTGTCATCAAAAACAATCATCAACTCCATTTTGTCCTGCGTCCATCGCCTCCTTCTTTCCTTCCCTTGCTACCTTTCATCTGACAGCCACACCTCTTTTCTCTCTGTTGGTTGATTGCATCTCTTTTCCATTTTGCAGAAAGCAGAGAAAGAGGGAGAAGAAGGGGGGGGGGGTTGATGTGATGTGTTTCTAACTGGTGATGATGCCGGGAAATGAGGACTTCACTTTGGAAGAGAACACTTCAGTGGGACCTTCACTTTATAGGCAAATTATAAACATCTAATTCCTAAACAATGGGCTTCAATATATTGCTGTAACAGCATCCACGTCTTCTTGGAAGCATTTTGGTTGTTTAAATTCATCCCAAATGGTTTTAGTTCAGGATCTTGTGCAGGCCAGTCTTGTTCTTCCATACCGAACTCTGAAAACCATTTTTTTTTTGGACATGGCTACAGCCCCAAACTGTCTATTTTGTCCACAAATGATTTTCTCCAAAATCCAAAAAGGCATATCTAAAGCTAATTTCTAGACCTGGGTATTGTTGACTACCAATCCCAATATCACCTTACTGTGATACCAAAACTGTTGAAGAAGTATTTCAATCAAAACCTTTGTTCCTTGGTTATTCGACACCTTTCATGTGAATTTACGCATACAAATGCTCCCACCTCTCCTTCCCATCCAAATGATGTTCTTCACTTGTATTCCCAACGAGTCCTGAAATAATCCTCATGCATTTTATTCATTTATATTTTTGTTTATACCATAAACATGTAATTGAGATATATTTGTTCAAGTTGGTGCACTGAACCTTACTCGACTTCACCACAGTCTGTTAGGATTGAAGTGTGAGAAGAAACATAAAAACAGATACACTTTTGGGAAACGATTGAATGCAGGTATCGTTTGAAGGGAAATCTTTCGATATTATTTGGTACTGGTTTATTTGGCTCATACCTGAGGTATTTAGTAGCGATACCCTGCCCTACTAATTTCAATATCTTTGTCATAACATTTAAAAAACATGTATCATGTTGAATGTGATTGATGAAACAATTGAATGGATCATCATGTTCAATCTAACCATAATCTGTCTCTTTCCTTTATTCTCACCCTCATCCTTAATCCACCCTTTTCTTCTTCATCCCACCTCCTCTCTTTCTCCTTTTTCCTCCCCTCTCCCCTAAAATAAATAATCACCACCCCCCCCAGTTGTCCCATCCAGTCCCACTATGGCCTCCTCCACCTCTCTCCCCTCCAACTGCTCCTCCTCTTCTGGCATCTTCTCCTTCTCCCCGGCCAACATGGTGTCGGCGGCCGTTAAGCAGAAGTCGGCCTTCGCTCCAGTGGTCCGGCCCTCCTCTTCCCCCCCGCCCTCCTGCACCAACGGCAACGGGCTCCAAGGTAATTTACCATGACAGCAGCCAGTGAGTCAGTGAGAGGATGCTCAGCGGGAGGACTTCCCCGGGAGATTCTCTGAGTCCCTGTTGAGCTTCACATCCCTCCTGCACTTTGGTGATGCTGAAATATCTCAACAACCATTCTTTTGATTGTTCTGACATTTTGGTTAGACAATAATGGTCCCTTAAGGGTGAATCGCAATGGCTTTGGTGATCCTCTGGATTTTCCTCACCTTGAGATTCACATGTTTTTAGTGAAATGTCTTAACAGCTGATGATTGGATTACCATGATTTTTACAAATCATTTAGTTTCCCTTCAGGATGAGTTGTAATAACTTTAGTGATCCCTTTCATCTAGCCTATTGAAGCCTGTCCAGTGGGTTGGTTTATGAACAAACACTTGCAAAACTAATGACAATCACATCAGTCTCAGCTGTATTTATTGTTAAGCGACAAATGCTAACATGCTAGGTGCTACTAGCTTAGCTTATAGAAACATCATACCAACATGTAACATTGTTAAATCTCTGATTACAATTTAGACATATGTGTTTCTTGCAAGGACAAATATATCATGTCTGCTTTCTGAACTGCTTAAACTTTTGAATTAATAGTTTGTCCTGTCTCTCCCTTTCTCCCTCCTTTTTGATTCCTCTGATTTGCCCTTCCTCTGTTATTTCTCTGCCCCCTATCTTCCTCTCTCTCCTCCCTCTAACAGATCAAACATTTGTGGACTCTAGCAAGTACTCAACAGCCAACTCTCTACAAGGCCTGGCCTTCACCTGAAGTATGTCCCTCTCTTCCTTCAGCTCTGTTGAATAATTGCATTCGCAACTTTTTGTAAACTTACATATTTCAATAAAGTAATGAATATTTGCCTGTTGCACATCTCTTATCTGTCAATGACTAACTCTCCTGATTTCTCACCCCAACCTTTTCTTCCATGTCATACTTTCTTGTCGATCTTGTTTGTCTCCCTCCATCTTCCTTTTGTGTCATCATCTCGTCTTCATCCTCTTCCCCCCCTCACTTTGCCATCTCATACATCTCATCACACAGTACAGATCTGTTGCCTAGTAACTCTTCCTTGTCTTCCTATTGGCTGAGGAAAAGCTCAGGAAGTTAGATATTTACAGAGACAAAAGAGAAGACATTTGGCACAAGAAATGTATATCTCCAAATCGCAGCCTTTGTTTAGCTGTGTGAGCATTTGCGTTTGCTCATGTGTGTGTGTGTGTTTGTGTGTGTGAGAATGAGCCTGTGCGGGGGTGTGGGAACTCAAAGCACAACTGAAATAAACACTCCCCACTTACAGCTATATACACACACTTTCCTCTGTCACATACACTCGGTGATCACACACTGGCAGCTTACTGGGGAGCGATCAACAATGACAGCTGTTCCACTCTCTTGACAGTTTATGCTGGCAGTATACCTGTCTCCTATGGTGTGTGTGGATGTGTGTGAGCACCTGAGACAAAAACAAAAAGGGGAAAAAATATTGTAGATTTTTGTCCGATTCATTATTAAAAAACATTAATTCTATGAAGTTTTTTACTCACAAACAAATGTAAAACCATTTATTTCATCAGCTGTGTGTGTTTGTGTGTGTGTGTGTGTGTGTGTGTGTGTGTGTGTGTGCGTGCGTGCGTGCGTGCGTGCGTGCGTGCGTGCGTGCGTGCGTGCGTGCGTGCGTGCGTGACTTTGGGCTGGGCTCTGGCTCTCACATGTTGACACCCATCCCTTGGGTTTTAATACAACGCACGCCATGATGCAGTCTGTCATGCACACACACGGACATACAGTAAAACACACCAACTGTTCTAACTTATGAGATGTGTCCCCGCTCAATTTTACTGATTTATTCTTCTGTTGATGTTTAAAATGTCATTGCAGTCACACAGCTGCACAGCTGGGAAAACATATTGATGTATTTACAAGGGAATGTTTTATGATGAGAAATATTTGGCTGTGTTTTAAACGTTTTTTTCTCTTCTCCCCCCCCCCCCTTCTCTCTCTCTGTTTCTTTTTCCACCCAACAGCAATCCCGGGAATGATCGTCCCACCCATGTAAAGGTGTGAGTGCATGACTGTGTGTGTGTGTGTTTGTGTGTGTGTATGCGTGTATGTGTGTGTTTGTAACCATGCGAGATGAACCAAGCACACTGATCCTGGCGGAGGATTTCTGTGCGAGTCAGACTCCGGTCGGGGATGGAAGCAGCTGTCCCGATCAGAAGGAACAAACCCAACTCAGGCCCTTTCTAACACAAAAACAACTGCAAGAAAAAACAGATGAAGAACAAAACAAACAAAGACTTTTGCAAAGAAAATAAGTTGTTTAGACTTTGTACACCTTGATGCTTTTATAGGAGAACGGCCACGCCTACATTATAACTCTCCACGGACACAGGAAGTGTATTTATTTTGGAGAGAATCACTTCTTCTCTTGAGTGATTTGTTTTCTTTTCGTGCAACAGTTAATGTGTGATAATCCTCTTCTAGCTGTTTCTCACATGAGGGATTTTCTATTTATGAAGTTTGGTCATTAATGAAGGAATATAATGTGAATAAAACCTGACTTGATGGTGATGATGATGAAGAAGAGACTGAAGGATTCAGGATCAAATCCAGCCGACACAGACAAGCCAAACCAGACACACAGTTTCTTCTTTTTTTCTATGCCAAATCCACATTCACTCTTTCAGCACAAACACAGACAGCGAGTCCTTTCTCAGCATTTCACCTGAAGGATTGAGACGACTGATGCTGCAAGTTTAGCTTTTCAAGAAACCCCCATGTTTGCTTTGAGCTCGCTTGCACTACTGCATTTTCTAGAAAGAGAAAATCCGTTTTTCAGCCAACAGAGAGAAATACAATTCAGCCACTTAACCAACTAAATAGAAACGCCCACCATGCGAGATGTCATAGAGATATTAGATTTGCTAGAGATCTTAGCCAGAATAGATTGGACTGCGAAGAGGCCATAAGAAAGTGCAAACGTTTGTGATAACAGGGTGCCAACTGCATCTTCACTGTTGAGGATTGTACCCAACAACTCTGCCAGAGTCGTCCATCAGCGCTGTTTTAAAGTCGGACATCGCCACAGCACCCTGAGAGGGGGAAGATGTCTTAAAGACTGCTGCCATTTTCCCTTTGTCTATTGTGATAGTTGCCTTCTCAAATGTTTGTCTTAATGCATAAATCCACATGAGTTTTCTTTCTTTTGGTTTGAGTTTTTTGTATTCTTCAGAACAGCCAATCAGATTGTGTTGTGTTTTGTTACCTGCCCACTTACTCGTGTGATTGACGGCTTGAGTGAGAACATTATCCAATGGTGTGTCTTAAATGCTGCGCTGCAAAAAACCTAATCTAAATCTTGAATGAGTCTTAAAATCGAACTTTTTAAAACATCTTCCACTTAGGTTCACTTTATTTAAAATCTGCACTTCATTTCTTTTCATTTTTTAAGTGCAGCTTTATTTAAAAGTACACCATAGTTCACAATATTCGCATGCCATTTTACACTTCCTAAGAGGTAAAGATGAAATATGAATTTTCATATTTTGTAATACATATCTTGATATAAACTAAGAAGGACTTTTTTTGCAGTGCAGGACAATTATACAGCTATGTCTTAAATAACCAGTGTGCAACTAGGAGAAAAGTATGTATTGATTTGTGGTGAACCCACTGCTTCCTCAGCCCCGCAGTGTGTGTGTGTGTGTGTGTGTGTGTGTGTGTGTGTGTGTGTGTGTGG